TTTAGTAAAACAGGGCAAGATAGTGTGTTCCCAAGATCCCAGCCACTTAGAAGGCTGACAGGTAGAAGGATCTCCTGAGACTAGGAGTTCAAGAGCAGCCTGGGCAACATAGCAAGACCCATCTAAAAAAAAAGTGATATGTAACATAAAATTCAACATTCACACTGTTGTGCAACCATTACCACTGTCTATCGCCACAACTTTTCCATCTTGCAACGTAAAACACTGGGCCTATCAAATACTCCCTCAACCCTAGCAATCACCATTCTTTCTCCCTAAATTTTAAATATACTAGATACCGCATATAAATGGAATCACATTATATATTAAATATTTTATTTCACTTAGTATAATGCTTTCAAAGTTTATTGGTCAGAATTTCTTCCATAAGGGTATATTCATTTATAGGTAGATACATATGCATGTTGTCTTTAGCTATTCATTCTCTTTTCACTTTAGCCATTCTAATGAATGTCTAGTCAAATTGCACTGTGACTGTATTTCTCTAATGATGATGTGATTAATGATGACATGACTCTTCATGTACTTATTTGCTGTTCACATATCTTCTGGTTCAAATCTTTTGCCAACTTTTAATTGAGTAGTTTGAGTGCCTGTTATTTAATTTTGTGAGTACTTTACACACGCTGAATCCAAGTCCTTTATCAGATATAGCCTATGTAAAGATTTTTCTCCATTATGACATTGTCTTTAACTGTGATGTCTGAAGAGTAGAATATTTAATTTAGCAACTTTGAACTTATTAGTTCTTTTATGGTATATACTTCTGGTGTTACAGCAAAGAAATCCATCAAAACCAAGATCACAAAAACGTTTTTCTACACTCGCTTCTAAAAGTTTCATAGCTTTAGGTTTTATTTCGGTCTATAACCCACTCTCAAACACTGTTAGTGGGAATATAAAATGGAGCAACCACTTTAGATGACTATTGTAGGTTCTTACAAAGTTAAACATATACCTACCATAGCACCCAATCGTTCAGAGGTTACTCAGAGTAAAGACACAATGTCTATGTAAAGACTTGTACACACATGCTCTTAGAAGTATTATTTATAATATACCCAAACTGAAAACAGCTCAAATGGTCACTCACAGGTATGCTGATAATTAAATCTGGTTGCATTCATACAATGGACTAGTTACTACTCACCAACAGAAAAATAAACCATTCATGTCACACAGATAAATTTCAAAATAATTATACTGCGCCAAAGTTATCAAACAACACTACATACTGTATGTTTCTTATATATAATACTCATCCCCATACAACAGTCAAAACCCCCACAAACTTATCTCTGCTGACGGAAAGCAGATCATTGGTTGCCTGGCTAAGGCGGGGAGGGATTACCACTGGGCATGACAAATTTCTGGGAACAAAAGATATAGTCACTATCTTGATGATGGTGACAGTGGCATGAGTATACACAAGTCAAAACGTGTTAAACTGTGCATCCTATATATGCTGTTCACTGCAGAGGAATTTTGCCTCAATACAGTTTTTTAAAAGCAGAAGTAGTAGGGTTAGCATAGTGTGCAAATTTCACTGTTGTTTAACATATTACAATTTATAATCAGGGGCCAGGGAGATTGGCTCAGTAGAATAAGAGCTTCCCTGGCAAGTGCAGGGGCCTGAGTTCAATCCCTGGTTCTGCCAACAAAAAAAGAAGCACTAACCAAATTAACAACGAATGATTTAAGACATCTTCCATGGCTCTGGCATTTTAAGATTCTTCCCATTTGAGACTGAGTGCGGTCGTGCACCCCTATAATCCCAGTGCTTGGGAGGTTGAAAATGGGAGGATCACTAAGAGTTTGATTTGTGTAGTGAGACCTTGTAGACCCTGTCCTAAATATGTAAGAAAAAAAAATTATAATTAGTCTTGTTGCACTACCATGTTATAAAGCAGTAATCTTTTTTTTTGCTCCGAAAGCCTTCTGGGCAGGTTTGGCTGGCTTGAGTTGTGGGGATCAAACCACAGCAACCTAAGCCTGATTGCTTTGTTGAAGCAGCCAAAAGCAGTAATCTTAAAACTTAATTTCTCTCACAAAAACTGTCAAAAGTTTAGATTTACTGTAGCTCAGTGGTAGATGGTTTGCTTAACCTGCATAAGACCTTGGATTTGACCTCCAGCATAGCATTAAAAGAAAAAAAAGGTTCTAATTTGTATACCCCAGGTCAGAACTTGAACCAGTATACAGTAATCTATGTGGTTTAGCCAGGATAACTGCAGTATATATGGTGATTGCCAATATACTATCCAGAGAATTATCTCTACAGTATATAGCCAACTTGTGTTACTCTGCCTTTAATTTTTTTTTCCCTAGAACATTACTCCACGATTTAGAAACATTTCCTCATGTACCTTACTTCTCAAATTCCCCATCACTTCACTTTCTATTGTATCTCTTTTGACGATTTGTAGTGTGCAATCTTTGAAAGTCTGATTACATGAGGAGTCAGTCTAGGTGCCCTCTCTAAATCTATGAGCCTCATTGCGTAACAGGTACATAGAGCATTTAATGCTGTGTCCTAGGAGGGATACAGAGATGTACAAACTATGGGCTCTAGCTTTAAGGAACTAAAAACTAGATACACACAGATTTATAACAAGGCAACTGTATCAAGTATCCTTAAAAGAAATAACTATAATATCCTTTAGAGATCTGAGATACAGTCATTTAGAACTGGAATAATTAAGAGAACTAAATACTGTCAGGAAAATGCAAGTCATGCTCTAAGAAACATTACTGGTGTGGAACAGTCAGTGAAACAGGTGGAGTAAAAAGGGAAAAGATAAGGATAGAAAAGTAGGATGGCAATACTTAAGACATGATTTCACACTTTAGGAAAGGAAAACCATGGAAATGATTTGAGCCAAGTCTGTGGCTACAGGGTGGGAAAGTCTAGTTAGGAAAGGAAACTCAGAGGTTAATGCTTGTCATGACTATAAAAAACCCAGCAAGAGGGAGAAATTAAGACCCTAAAGACAGAACAAATAAATAGTTCATAGATAGATCTGAATAATGACATAATTGATTTAAGGAGGGGAGAAACTCATACAAATGTGTGAGTTTGTACAAATTTTACATATTTAGGACAGGGTCTATAAGGTCTCACTACACAAATCAAACTCATAATGATCCTCCCATTTTCAGCCTCCCAAGCACTGGGATTACAGGGGTGCACCACCACACTCAGTCTCAAATGGGAAGAATCTTGAAATGCCAGAGCCATGGAAGATGTCTTAAATCATTCGTTGTTAATTTGGTTAGTGCTTCCTTTTTTTTTTTTTTTTTTTGGCGGAACCAGGGATTGAACTCAGGCTCTTGCGCTTGCCAGGGAAGCGCTTATTCCACTGAACCATCTCCCCCGCCCATTCGTTAATTTGTCAGTACATTTTTTCAAGTATTAAGGTCACTTCTAAAACATGGATCACAAACATTTAAAAACTTTAAATGGTCACATTATCAAATAAAAAAGTTTTTTTTGAACATTACTTATACGTATTAATCAAAGTAAAAGTCACTGTACTAACATTTTAATTTTCTTATCCATATTAACAATTTCTACAGTACGTGTACAGATATTCTCATGCTGTGCAAGTTATACAAACCTTGGGAATAATGAGTGGGGTAAGAGATGTAACTCATTTTTAAAATTACATGTAATGGGATCACAAAATTTGGGATTTTCTTTTTTCACCGAGCAATATACAATTGTGATCTTTCTTTTAATATTTATTTAGTGTGTGTGTGTGTGTGTGGCCAGCTCAGCCCACCAGGGGGCGGGGCTGGCGGGCATGTGGTGCTGGGGGATCGAACTGCGGTCCCTGGGTTTTGCTTAGCTTAGCTTGTTCTAAGGTGCTTTAGACCACTGAGCCATCTCACCAGCCCCTTGAGATCTTTCTATAGTGACATGTACCCCCAATATTTTAAATAGTTTCATAGTGTTACACACTGTCACATAACTTACTCATAATTGTGGGGGTTTTGCTGCCAAACACCATCTGTTATGAACATTCCTGTATATACAGTACGTTTTATGGGAGTATTATCTGTATTTTTAAATTCCCCTAAGAGGAATGACTAAAATTTTTAAAATGAGTGATTTAAAATATCGATGGATCTTGCCATGTTGCCAGGATAGGGTCCTTTTGAAAAGGAGCAAAGTCCACAACTAGCAGTTTTTGCAGGTGGGCAACCCTGCTTTTTCTCCAATTCCTCCTCCGCAGTATGTCAGTGAGGCCAGGCGAACAGGTCAGTTCAGCCCTCAGAACCTGGCCCTCAATCTCTCAGCCTTGCCTCTCAGCCCTGGGTCCTTCCTTTCTCTGCAATTTCGCCTAATTTCTGTCTGGCAGAAAATTAGGAAAATGATTCCCTTCGCTCCCACCCGTCCTCGTCATCAAACTTGGCGATACCCTCTCCCCGGCTTAAGCCCGGGGGTTCTCTCACCGATGGTTCTCGTTTAGCAGGAAGAAAAGGGGGGCGAGGTGCAACTCCGCCGCCTGCTCCCGAAGCTCGCTGAGAGGTACAGCCTGCACCACTGATTGCAGCGCACGTAGCTCCTCCAGAGGCGCTTCCAGCCGTGCCACCTCCCTCAAAAGAGACAGCGCCTGTGCCGCCATCTTGCCGACTCTCTCCGCCCATCCAACAGGCTCCCGGGAGGTTTCTCTAAATTTCGCGAGATCTCAGGAAGAAATCACTTTTCCGGTCTGCAAATCTCGCGAGACGGGGTTTCTGACGAGTCAAAGGTCGTCTGTGGTGGGCTTCTCTGTTGGCCTTTAAATCGCGACCCAGTGTAGTTGGTTAAGTAGCCGATGTTCCAGCTTGGTTTACCGAGGATGAATCCTCACCGTATGTTCAAACAGCAGAGCGAAGAGGATGAGAAATCATCGATAGCCATACAGCCTTTCGGACGGCCTTTCGGATCCCCCCAACATGGCTCGCCAGCTGCGGAGAGAGCCGCGTTCCTAAGCCCACTCAGGCAAAGCTAGGGAAGCGCTGTGATGGCGGGAGTAATACGGAGCAGAGGCGCCTTTGTGTCATCGTTGACTCAACCGTACGCCTGATATAAAAATAACAAGGGGACCACTGGCCAGCGTGGGGAAGGTTTACTCATCCACTCGAAGATGCTGGACATTCCAGTGATGTAAGCATGGAGCTGGAGAGTGCGTTAAATTTCAGAGTGGAAGAGCGGAACATCGAGTGGTGGCTTCAGATTCAAAGGCTATTTGCAACAGGTTAATCGCAACTGTCGGCAGTGGTGGAAATCAGTGGTCCGGGCAAGTGATGAGTTGCATGCGAACAAGGGATTGCATGAGAAGTTTAAAGATCAGTGTTTGCAAGATAAGAGGTTGACGGGGGCAGGAAGAACCGTTTTATATTGAGTGTGCACCCATGTATTGCAAGCAGTCGGGAAGACTGATCAAAGATAGAAGCTGTATTCCTGAGTGGTTGTCAGTGCCCAGGCGATGAGCTTCTTTTGGAAATGAATAGCTCTCCATAATTTTAAGGAAATAGGCAAAAATTTGGAACGCTCGGCAGAAATTAAAGACAGAATTTTTTCTCTCTTTGTCTCTCAGTCTGTGTCTGTCTCTGTCTGTCTCTCACCAGTGCCCCAGTTAACAAAATAAAACTTGCTATTTTGCAAAGATCTTAGCCCAACTTGTCTTAGAATAAGATAATTTCCAATATTCTGGTGATCCCAGCGCAGAGCATCCATCACCATTGCCCTCTCTTAGAGTTACAGCTTGTTTTCTTTGTATATTTGGTATTACCGATCAACCCAGGGCCTCACACATGCTAGGTAGGTGATCGATTGCTTAACTGCATCCCACTAGCTCCCTCACCTTTTGAAGTTTGAAATGTTCCATTGCCCAACCTGGTCTCCCAACTATTGAGCCTCCTAGAAATTGTAAGGAGTGAGCCCCAGCCTTCTGAGTAATTGGGATTACAGGCATGTCCCACCTTGTCTATCTTGTATTGATTTGTTTAATTGTTTGACCACAAAGCTCAAAGATGATTTAGAAGGAAAAAATCTGAATTCATAGTGTTGCTAATTGTGGACAAAAGTCCTGGCCATGTACCCAATGGTGGGAACTGATAGCATACTTACCTCTATGGGCTTTCACTAAAACGTTAGCCATTACTGATAGGCCCACTATGTTTTGCTCATGTCGTTGCTGTTGTGTTTCTTCCTCGGAAGACACAGACTTTCTCTCTTGGATCAGTGGATATAGTTAAAGGGTTCACAGAGTATTATAATGAAGTATATGTTTGACCACTTTGTTGACACCTTATTTAAAATAAAACTGATGATACTGTAATATTGCAGGTGCTTGTATGTTGACAAAGAGGTGATGGGTAATGTAAAACCAGGCATTATTCATAACAGTTAGTGGAAAATAGAATATTGGGAATGGTTATGTTTCCCCTAGAGTTGAAGTAGGAAAAAAATATCCTAGTCCACAAAAAAGAGGGTTATAAATTCTTTGATATCAGGGTAAACAAAATGAATGAGCCACTCAAATTTGAATCATTGGCAATAACTCAGTCTATTCATAGATGAAGAAGAGGACCAATCCTTACGACCAGAGGTACAGGGAAAACCTAAGGTAATTGAAGGCACTTTGATGCTTCAGGTCTCATTGATGATGCAGTTAAGGATCCTTTCCTGGACAGAAGTTTACCTTTTCAAAAAGATTTCAGGTCAGGGAGGTGGCTGAGTGGCTTAAGCACCTGCCTGGCAAGTGCCATATCCTGCGTTTGATCTCTGGTACCCTTAGCCCAACCACGAAAGAAAAATTTCAGTGAATTGCTGTGTACCAAGAAAAGCTGTAATAACTTTTAAAATAAAGTAGTTCATAAGGAAAACAAATAAGTGGGTGAGAGAGATGGCTACAGTATGAGTCTGAAAGGAAGTCAGAATTTTATTCAGAGTCTGAGGCTGAGTCAGAATCCCCTAAGAAGGCAGAGAGGAAAGAGGAAAGGTGGAAAAAAAAAAAAAGTCTCCAGGAGAGCCTGGATGCTCCAGCAGCAGCACTAAAACTATTTATCTGAAGAACTTGCCAAAGCCATAAAAACAGAATTGGACATCTGCAGTCTAGCTTTACAATGGAATCTAAAGAGAGTGAAATGTCAGAGTTGAAGGATGAAGATAATCCAGTGGTTGTATCTCCGAATGACTGTTCACCTTTTGGCATCTTTGTTTTGCTACCTCAATATCGCCTTCATCGCTTCCAGCCTTATAACAAACTGCCACACATTTTGTAATATTTACTCATTCAACAAACTTTGAAAGTAAACTGCACCAGGTCCTGTGCTAAAGGAAATCATCATCTCAGGAAATCATCTGAGGATCTGAGGTAAATAGTCATTATACAGTTCTTATTATTGTAATAGATATGGAAGATCATGGTACTGGTTTATTTTAGTGGGCTTAAAATGCAAAGGTATTGTTAGGACCACTAAGCTTCATTTTTTCTAATCTTTATAGATAAGAAAAATTTCAATCATAAATAGTAGTAGTTGATACTACTTGCTTTGAAATGGGGATGTCTTCCTATATATGATAAAACTCAACATTAACCTTTGTTAATCCTGAGTTCATACCTATGAAGGAAATATTAGCTCTTCCTTTACTAAAAAAATGCCTCCAACACAGGGATTAATAAGTATGCCTGCATCTGCACACCTACCAACGTAAACAACAGTATTAGGATTTTGGATTAGGACTTCAGCTGATTAACTGCCTTACCTCAGACACATTGCTGGGAAGTGCATAGGGCCTTCAAAAATTTAGCCAGAGGAGTGAAAGACAGGTGAGCAGGTAATTGCAGTGAAGAGGGAGGCTGAGAACTTAACAATTTGCAAGGCAGATTTGGTTAAAATCCATTTGTTTTGTTTCTTCATTTTGAAAACAGTTTTTAATTGATTTCCATCTTTTTTTTATGTGTTTGATGCATGATCTCACTACCCAGCTCAGACTTGTAGTGATCCTCCTGTTTTCAGCCTCCGCAGCACTGGGATTACAGACATGTGCCACCACACCTGGACTGTCTCAGCACACCCAGGGGGCGGGGTTGGCATGGTTTGTGGTGCTGGGGATTGAACCCTAGTCCCTGTGCTTGCCTAAGCAGGTACTTAGTCCACTGAGCCATCTTGCCAGCCCTTCATTTTGTTTAAGATACTATTTTTTAAAGATACTATTTTTCCTTAAGATACTATGGACATGAATATATATGTAAATACTGTGTACATAAATAAAATTCATTGATGTGTACACAGCAGTGTACACATAAATTAAAATTCACTTAAGTGTACAATTCATTGTACTTTTAACTCTTATATAACTGTAGTCAGAACAATCAACATAAAACCTTTCCCGTAACCCAATGTACTTGTTTCCCTGTCCACTAAATCTCTTTCCCTGTGACCAGAGTTGTCATCATTTTTGTTTTGATTCTTTTTTCTTTTTCTTTTTTTTTTTTGAGGTGAGGTCTTGCTAAGTTGCCCAGAAGGACCATAAACTATTGATTTTCCTGCCTCAGTCTCCCAAGTGCTGGGATTATAGGCATCTGTTGCTGTGTCTGGCAGAGCTGTAATCATTTTGAAGTGAGGATATTTTACTTTAAAAAGCTGAATTAAAAATGTAGGCACCCTGGCAAAAGTGAGTACTCTGTTCTCAGAGGACAGCAGCCAGCCACTGGCTCATAGTTTTCTTGTCTGTTTGCAGTTCTGTGTAATGTGCATTAATTGCTTCAGCCTAACGTGTGGAGTGTGCCTTAGTCGGGGGCTGAGTTACCTCTAGGAAGGCCACCCAGAGCAACTGTCTGGAAGGAGGGATGAGTTCAGAAAAGTAGGAAGCGAGAGTGTTCTAAACCAATGAGAATTAGAAGAGAGATCTTGGGAAGAAGGGGCAAAATATGTAAGAGAGGTGCCCTGTGTGTATGCCGCAGGTTTCAGCAGGGTTTTGTCGGTGGCTGAGGCCTCTTTGGAGAAGAGGGGCGTGTGTGTGTGCTGTGGTTTCTGAAGGTGTTGAATTCTAAGAAAGGTTTGTCTCTGGGGTATCTTCGTCTTCTTCTTTTTCTTCTTTTTATTTTTTTTGTTTAGAGGGGAAGAGAAAATAGCATGTATTTTTTTGCAAGAGTAGGTGCACTGTGGTTAGTTTCTAAGTTTCAAAGGAGGGTTGTTCCCAGCTCCCTGCTCTGTCTGCTGGCCTGATAGGAGGACAGGGCGGGGCAGTGCGCAGGCAGAGGGCGTGAGGGAGAGGGCGGTTAAGGTCCTGTGTACTTGGCCACCAGCAGGGCTGTAAGTCACTACTGCGGGAGTGCCTTGTGCTAAACTACGTGCAATGCCATGGACAGGCTGGGATCCCGGTGCCCTGTGTCACGCTGCTTCCGGCCCTCTCTCCTCATCTGCCTCTTGGTGAGTATTCCAGTTAATATCTCTGCAAACCCCCTCACCTTTCAACCTGAGGACTGAGGGAGGAGGAATGAGGGAAGAGGACTTATTTCTCTTCATAGCTCTCAGGATTCCGAGCAGGGCACGGGCAGGTAGGAGGTGAATTGTAAAATCTTCAGAAGTGCTGCTCCCCTGTGGAGATTGTGGGGTAGTTGTCAGGGATACCAGAACAGCTTTAGTTTGCCTGTGGGGACAGGTGACCGGCTGGCATTGCTAGAGTGGGGGAAGGGAAGGGGTGTTTCTGCGCAAGTTGCACCTAGGTGATTCTTGATAGATTACTGTTGCAGTTACCATCTCATTTCTCTGTAATTTTCTGGGAGCTATGTTTTCTCATCTCTGCAATCTCTTAAACTATTAATGTTGAAAATGAAACTAACTCCCAGTGGTGGTAGGGTCAGAGGGCAGAGCTGTAGGAGAGAGCCTGAAGTTCAGGCTCTAGCCCAGCTCTGCTGCTCACTTTTGGAGAGATTGCTCCTCTTCTCTGGCTGTTATTCCCTCATCTGTGAAAAGTGGTTCAGGTCAATGACTTTTTTTTTTTTTTTTTTTAACTCTGTAGAAAACTCAGTGTTGTTTTTTTTTTTTTTTTTTTTGTTTTTGTTTTCTTTTTTAATGACTCTTGTAGGGATTATAAATCTGTCTGTTGTCTGTCTGTCTGCCTCTCTCCTCTCTAAAAGTTCTGAATTTGTATCCCAGAATTAGTTGCATTTGATTTTGGGGTACTTACAGATTCCTTAAAACTAGAGAGATTACCAGCTCAATGCCACTGGATGGGGTAGTTTCTGAGGCCCCTGCTGCATTGTCACACACCGTAAAGTCAACCGTAACCTCTAAAAGTTATGTGCCTACTCTAGGACCAGTACAGGAAAGTGGCCAAATGAAATAGGAAATAAGAGGGTAGTTAGATATGGTGCCACAAACCTGTAATATCAACATTGGGAGGCTGAGGCAGGAGGATTTCATGTTCAAAACCAGCCTGGGCAACTTAGTGATTTAGCAAGACTTTTTCTTAAAATAAAAAATGGGCTTGGGATATAGCTCAGTGCAAAGGCCCTGAGTTCAATCCACAGTTTCCCACCACAAAAATGAAAATAACTGAAGGATGCATAAAATGTATAAGAGTGTATAGTGATAAAAGGCTTGTAGTAAAAAACTAAAAAAAGGTATAACGGACATAAATACAAAGTGTATAATGGACATAAATATAAAGCATTATGCAGGCTTTAAAAAATTAATGGTAAATTTTTATTTGTTACACTAAATGTTTCCTAATGTATTCTCATCAATTTTGCATTCATGTAATATGATTTTCTTTTTTAAAAAATTGTATTTATTGGCTACAGGGTCTCACTATGCAGCTCAGACTCCTGGTGATCCTCCTGTCTCAGCCTCCCCAGTACAGGGATCAATTTATTTATGTATTTATTATGTATTTAGTACAGGGTCTACAGGGTCTCACTACACAGATCGGAGTCATAGTGATCCTCTTGTTTTCAGCCTCCCGAGCACTGGGATTACAAGCACGTGCCACCGTGCCCAGTCTCAATTGCCAGCATGCCCTTGGGGGGGGGGCAGCACAGCCCACTGCTAGGGATCCACTGGTCCCTGCATCTGCCTAAGCAGGCGTTTTAATACACTGAGCTATCTGGCCAGCCCTTCCCCAGCACTGGGAATACAGGCATGCACCACCGCGCCTGGTTTCAAGGCCAGCAAGGTGCGCCCAGGGTTCTGGGGCTGGCAGGGCATGCAGTACTGGGGACTGAATTTGGGTCCTTGTATTTGCCAGGCAGGTGCATAGACCGTTGATCTATTTGCCAGCCCTAATGTGACTTTCTAAAATATGATATTCCACTGTTGGGTCCAGAGTAACCTTTTATGCTTATGAGACCTTGTTTATGTGGTGCACAGCCACTTCTCAAGTGTGTACTCCTTGCCTGGGGTGCTCAGCTGGTGGGAATATAGAAATGACAATCAGATTATCTCCAGACATAGCTAAATGTCCGGGGCGGGAATAGGGGTGGGTGCAAAATCACCTTCAATGGAGAAGCACTGGACTAGGCGAAGCTAGAAGGGTCATACTGTGTCAGTTCTTAGCCATGACCGCTGCAGTACATTGAATCCAGAATGGGAGCAGGAGTCGTGGAGGCAGGACTATCTCTGTCAGTGGGTTTCTGATTGTTCTGCTTTGGTTACCTGCTCTGCTGAATTAAGGGTTGTCTTAGGTTGTACCCAAGGGCCTGTTTACCTTTTAGTGTTTTGGCTATGTGCTCAACTAAGACTCAGAATCATTCTAGGTGAGTTTGTATTTACTCTTAGTAGCTCTTTGGCCTCTTACTCCTGTTGCTTGGATTGTCTCAAGGCTCCCTGAAGAGTGGCTTTTAAGCGTGGGCTTGTATGTTGCCTCCCTCTCTAAGCCACTTTGCATTTTTGTTCTGTCTTTGGCCAACCATCCTGTGATGAGTGTTTCTCTAGGTTAGAGTTGTGCTGGTAGCCTCCTGGAGTCATGGAAGTAGATACATTATAGTGCTCTTGGATGTCCAATTCTCTGCTATAAGTACTATATATTCTCTTCTATAATAGGGTGACCGCCTCCACCCCCAAATAGTCTTATGACACAAGGATATTTCATTATAGTAACAGCATTTCACATGTGTCCTAGCCTAAAAGAACCTGTTAGGTGCTGGGAACTTCTGGTGACATAGGGAGCAAAAGACAGCCCCTTCCTTTACTGACTTAGTGATTTCAAATTGCTTTTCCTGTCTCACTTGAACCTCTGGCAGTTTTGAGATAGGCAGCACAAGTGTCACAATCTCCAATTTCTAGCTGAGATTTATAGAAAGAAGAGAAAATAACTTGTCGAGAGGCCACAGATAGTATTGGCATCAGGATTTAAGTTCTATTCTCTAGTGCTTGTCTTTTTTCCCCTATAGTCGAGTTATCATTAAAGAAAAGCCAGTTAAGTTTCCTGGGTTCTTTCACCTTGCACTGTCAGTGGTGTATAGTGCAGAGCACTGCTGTATTGTTGACCTGGAAGCAGTGCTGGGGGTGGTGGGAAGAAGTGGAAGCCCTTGCAATGCTACTGTAGTGAGACTAAAGACATAACATGCTGCTCAGAGCCTGCAAGAAGTAGGAGCCAGGAGCGAGGGGCTGCGCAGAGGTCGGGGCGAAGCAGAGCCCTGGCTGGAAGGCGGGAGAAGCAGCTCTTGTTTCTAGTGGCTGAGTCACAGCTGCCTCCTTCCGGATTACCTGAAGCACTGTTATTTACCCCACGTAGTGAACTAGAATGAAAGAGCTCTCTAGTCTTTTTCATTTCTTAAAATAAAAAGAGAAATCTTACCTCAAAATGTCTTTCTCTCACCTGGTTATTGCCACCTGCATTGGGATCTTAAGGTGTTTCTCCTGGGTCATGGAAGTAGCTAAGCAAGCTGCCCTCTGATCTTTCACCATTCCTGCCCTCCCCCCATTTTTGGCCAGCTCAAGATTCCTTAAGGGCAGGTCTAGTAAGGCCTGAGGATCTGGGGATCAAACCACAGAATCCTGAGCCTGACTGCTTTGCTTTAAGCAGGCACTTACCAATTGAGCTAATGGGCAGGACCCCAATTTATTTATTTATTTATTTATGGAACTGGGGATTGAACTCAGGCCCTGGCCCTTGCCAGGCATGTGTTTATTCTACTGAGCTATCTCCCTGGCCCTTCTTGGCCCTTTTCTGCTTGGCTTGACCATATTGTTGCTGTCCTACCTCTGAACTTCTAAAAGTGTCCTGTCCTGAGTACAAACCCCAGATTCTTCAGTTTGATCCACTTCTGTTAATTCCAGCCAGCAATTGCTTCTTCTTGATCTCTTCCTACTCAGCCATCCACCAAGGCCCACACAAACTGGATATTCCATCAGTCCTTCATTCCGCCTGCATTGCACATAGTCATTTGCTTAGGATGCCCCCTCTTCTCTAACAGTCCTGCTTCTTTTTCTGAACATAGATTCTTGCTGTGTAGTCAGGCTGGCTTCAAACTAGTGATCCTCATGCCTCAGCCTCCTGAATGCTGGGATGAGAGTTATACACAGCCACACCTGCTTAAAATCTTATTATTTCAGATCCAGCCCAGCCGAGATCTCTTTTTCCAGACCTGCATCATGGCTGTTCATAAAAGTCTTCTGCACTTTCCTGGTAGAGCTTTCCAGCTGGTTTTCCTCACTTTCCATTGCCGGGCACAGATACATTGTTTTAAAATTGGTCTGTTTGCTGTACCTATGTTTTGCACTAGATTGTATGCAGCAGCTGGTACAGACACAGATGAATGCACATGAAATTACTCTGCCAGGGGACTGGGGAGATAGCTCAGTGGTCTAAGAGCCTGCCTGGCAAGTGCAAGGACCTGGTTCAATCCCCAACACTTCATACTGTGCCAGCCCTGGAACCCCGGGTGTGCTGAGCCAGCCACCGAAACCGCCCAGGTGTCGTGCTGCATGCCTGTAATCTCAGCAGTGGGGAGGCTGAAACAAAGGATCACTACAAGTCCAAGATGCATACCAAATACATAAGTAAATTAATTAATTAATTAAAAAGAAATTAGTCTCCCAAATGTCAGTGTATATAAGCGCTTATTGTTCATTATGGTCTCCACAGGATGATTGCAGTTTAGTGGATGCCAGTTAGTATTACCTGTAATCTGGTGCAGTAAATCTGGATATGAAGTCATCTAGACTTAAATTCAAATTCTGGTTTCACCAACCAGAGCTCTATGATTTTAAGCACTTTATTTTTAAAATTTAGTTTTATGGAAAATAAAATTTTATAACAAGTAGTAAAATAATAACAGTTAATAATACATTGTGTATTGTTATCTTCAGAGTAGTTACTCAGAGTATAAGCTATGGGTGTAAAAAATTCTCCAAGCAGTATTAGCACACATCTTTCTTTTTAATGAACTAATAGAAACTAGTAGTACAACCATCTTGTATTCTTTTTCTTTTCCCTTCTTTCCTTTCCCCTTTCTCCCACCCTAGTAATAAGTCCCCTTTCCTATTGAACAATTTCTTTACATTTCACAATATTTATTGCACATTCTTGTCCTTATTTATTCTTCAGTTTCTTACACCAGGAAGATAATATGATGTTTACACATGTGCATCTGACTTATTTCATTTGTGGTATGGTCTCAAGTTGCATCCATTTACCCATAACTATCTCAAGTGTCTCCTTCTTTATGCCTGAGTAGTACTCTCTTATAATAAGAGACCACATCTTTTTTAACCATTTCTTGGTAGATGGGCATTTGGGTTGTTTCCAAGATCTTGCTTTTCAAAGGGATAGATTTCTAGACACATATGAATTGCCAAAACTGAATCAAGAAGATATAAAAATTCTAACCCAATATCAGTCTATGAAATTGAAAATGTAATTAAAAACTTACCAACAAAGAAAAGCCCAGGTCCTGATAGATTCACTGTTGAATTTTTAAGAAATTTAGAGAAGAACTAATGCCACTATTGCTGAAACTCTAGTGAAATTGAAAGGGAAGCAGTACTTCCAAAATCATTCCTGGAAGCAAGTATTATCCTGACACCAAAACCAGAGGAGGACCTAACCAAAAAAGATTTTAAGCATGGTTTATGAGCTTCATTTTTTTCCCCCCTCATCTAAGAAATGTAAAGGAGGGGCCAGGGAGATGGCTCAGTAGAATAAACGCTTCCCTGGCAAGCACAAGGGTCTGAGTTCAATCCCCAGTTCCACCAAAAAAAACCAAACAAACAAAAAGAAGTGTAAAGGAAAATATGTAGGTGTGAAAACTACTTACGCACTAAAGCTCAGTGCACATCCCTAGGAATTGTGTTGTGGATGGGGTGAAAGGATGAAAAAATATCACAGCCTTGGTTCCAGTCCACTTGAGCTGGGAGTTGTTGACTCGAGCTTTTCTTTTCCACCACATAGATCCTGCCAGCTGCTTTTGTGATGTACCCCATGCTCAGGACCCTTAGCCTACGGCTCCACTCAATCATCACCAGCACCTACGTCTCTGGTGCCCACTCTGTGGTCTTCATCAACTGTCCCAGTGAGCAAATTGCCAGAGACATTGCCAGGTACAGTGCAGGGGCAACAGTGCTGCTCCAGATGCCCTGGGACCTGTGAGGATGCTCCAGAAAGGCCACTTTGGGGCCCCTTGTGTCTGATGACCCTGTCTGTCCACAGGAGGTTCTCCAGGCTGTTTGCTTGATGAGGGGTAGGAATTTCAGCTGAAAGATCCCCCAGCTTACCCTGCTGCCAGGCCTGAAATGCTGACCGGACCAGGAGGCATAAAAGGGAGGGACATGAGACCTACAGAGATAGGTAGCTTGTTCAAGGCATGAAGTAAGAGAATAGTAGAACCCCTGAGATCCACAATTTAATTCTCCTAGTTGCTGGCCAACCTCTGTTCACTGAGATAGCCTCTCACTTCATGGAGACGTCCTACATGTGCTGTTTATGAGGAGGGCATTGCAAGCATTGGGTAGTTTCTGGAATCACGTATGGCTATGCTGGAAAGAGCACTAAATTGATTAAGCCAATTTTGGCTGAGGTACTTATAATATGGACCTTGAGGGATCTTTGGGCAAGTTGCATTGTGTTGCTTTGCTTTGCTTTACCTTGCTTGGTCTTCTTTCCCCTCCCCTTTCCTTTCTTCCCCTCTTCTCCCTCTCCTCCCGTCTTCCCTCCCCTGTCCTCCCACTTCTTTTCCCTCTCCTATTCCCTACCCTTCCCTCCTCTTCAACCTTTCCTTTCCACATTCTCCTTTCCCTCCCCTCCCCTTCCCTTCCCTCCCCTCCACCTACCTGTCCATCTCCCCTCCCCCTCCCTTTCCTCCTTTCCTCCTTCCCTCTCCTTCCCTTTCCTTCCCTTCTTTATATAATGTGTAGCCAGGTAGATAGAATGTAGTATATGCCGAATAAATGTTGATTATATCGGAATTTCCCTTTTCAGAGTATAGCTTTTGGGGGGCTGTTTGGGACAAAGTCTTGCTATGTAATTCAGGCTGGCCTCAAACTTGAAGTGATCCTCTTGCCTCAGCCTCTTGAACACTGGGATTGTAAGTGTGTGCTGCCATGCATGGCTATATAGATGTAGGTTTGAAGAAAGCTAGTGGAGCCAGAAGATAAAGGATTTGGCTCATTCATTTTACCTTTTTGCTTTTCAACTTAGCATTCTTGAGGTTGGTGGTAGACTAAGATTAATCTAGGGTCACAGTCACAGATGTCTGTAACTTAAAAGAATACAGTGGCTGGAGTGTAACAGTGAAGGGTGGTATTAGATGCTAGCCGTCCAGTGTTAGGAGAAAGGAGTGGAGGGAGCTGTGTTAGCCTGCGAAGTGTGTTTCTTGCTAGAGGGAGCAGCAGCTGCTCAGCACTAGCTCAGCTCAGTGTGCCCCAGGGAAGCTGCAGGCTGATTGGGGTAGGTAGGCTCATTATTTCCCAGGAAACTCTGAGTGTGGGCTAACCTGATGCTAAATATTGGTGACAAAGCCAAGATTTTTTTAACTGCCCTGAGGGCCAGACCTTGAACTTGGTGTGTGAACACTGGCCTGTGACCACTGCAGTTTGTAGGAGCCCTGCACTGCTAACGGCTCTGCACTGCTCCCTTCTGCTTCCTGGAGCCTGCGCCCTTTGTGTGTGACTCACTACTGGTCTGGACTGGTTGTGTGCCTGCTTTAAAACTGAGCTCAGTAGGCCCATCCCATCCTTTCTTTTTAAGGCCATAGTGGCTTTTTTTTTTTTTTTTTTGCGAAACCAGGGATTGAACTCAGGCGCTTGTGCTTGCCAGGGAAGCACTTATTCCACTGAGCCATCTCCCTGGCCCCTATAGGGGCTTTTTGTGTAACAGTCCCACTTAGCTCTTTCCCTTTTTCCCTGAAGACCAGTTAGTGGGTTCAGTCACTGAAGAGTTACATCACAAAGAGTTGGAAAGGGCCAGTGAGGCAATGGGGTTAGTTTTTCTAAATGTATGACTTACTCACTGTGCCTGAGTGTCACCCGAGAACAAGCAGAATGTAACTTTTTAGAGGGTGATTGAGCATGACTCGTAGCAGTTGCCTAAAGAAGTCTGTGCCACATGACTCTTCTTACACTGGGGAATTTTCCAAGGGAGCAAGGATGGCGATAATGTCACATTAATATGGGTCCTTAAGTAGAATACACTTCAGCCTGGGACTCAAGGGAGGAGAAAAAAGGTCAATGCTCTTGGCAACAGCTGAGGGACAGAGGGATCCGTGACCAAGCCTCAGATAAGGTTTGTTTGGCTCAGCCTCAGAGAACAAAGACAAGGTTCTTTTGGCGTTCTGTGGTCTGAGAAAGCTTTGCCAGAGCTGCGTGACCCTGAAGCCATAAAATAGATGGTTAGCTACACTTCCCCTTTTTTTTTTTTTTTTTTTTAAATGTATTTAGTAATGGGTCTACAGGGATTGGACTTGTAGTTATCCTCCTGTTTTTAGCCTCCCAAATGCTGGGATTACAGGCGCATGCCACCATGCCCAGTCTCAGATGCCCCCAGTCTCAATCGCTGTCTCAGTGCACCCCAAGGGCAGCCCTGGCACAGCACACCTGGGGACCAAATCCCGGTTCCTGCGTCTGCCCAAGCAGGTGCTTTAATCTGTTGAGCTATCTGGCCGGCCCTACACTTCCCTCTTGCATAATGACTTGGTTTCATGATTTAGATCTGGAATGTTCCCCTTAAAGCCTTTGTGTTTGCAGGTGGGGCTTGTGAAAGGTGATTGGATTTTGGGAATGCAACTGCTGTCTTGGTGTGAGGAGGTAGGGCTGGGAAAAGGCAGGGCCTGGGGATGACCTGGAGGAGACCCTCTCCCTCCCCTGCTCTTTCTTTCTCTCTGTTTCCTGGCACCATGACCTGGGCAGCTCTGCTCTGCAGCAGTCCCTTCCATCATGCCATTTCTAGTTTGAGCCAGCCAATCATGAAATAAAACTGTGAGCCAAAATAAACCTCTCCTTTTTTAATTTGTGGGTGTCAAGTACTTTGTCCCAGTAATGAAGAAAGTGACTCAGATCGTGGCACTCTTGTTTTTGTGATACCTATTCAGATATACCTTTTGTATGACACTACTGTTTTGTAAAGGAAACAGAGACTATGAAACTGAAAGTTGATTGATGCTTTAGAGATTATCCTGCCAGGGATTTTAACCTGTGGTATGTGAAAAAATGTTTAGTGGTCTTTAGAGGAGGTAATTATGCTCTTTAGACTAAGATAGAAACCTTTAGAAAAAATGAAAGGTGAAAAGATCCTTGTTTGCCAAAACAGACACTTAGTGATCATGTTCTGCTTTTACATAGCATTGGGCCAGCTGACTGGAGTCACTCAGATGTCTACAGATCTGAAGCACAGGTGTCAGCAAGGTGCATCTGAGAGGGAGAGGGAGGGGTGGTGTAGTCAGAGGAGTTCTTGGTGGTGAGAAAGTTTGGCAATCACTGACTAAACCTGTTCTCTAGTACTGCAGAGGAGGTTGAGAAGAGGAGATAAAGAACTTGCCGAGGGTCACACAGCCATCCCGCTGCAGGGCTGCAAGTGGGACAGAGATCTTCTTTAGGTCCAGTGTTCACTGATTTCTGCATTCCAGAGGGAGTGTGTCCTTAAAGCTGCTTCGCCATAACTACTTCCCAACTTCACACCCAGACAAGGACTCAGCACTAGCTCAGTATTCAGAGGCTCTGTGTGTGGTGGTTATATAGACTGTGCTACTTTGGGGAGGGGAGGGATGCGTTGATGTCTTGGTCTGTTTTTGGCTGCTGTAAGCAAATGCTGCAAACCAGATCATTTATAAATAATATGAGTTTACTTACAGTTGTAGAGGCGAAGTGTCTTATTTGCTTTTCTCATTCATGAGACAAAATACCTAACACCCCTACTTAAAGGAGGAAAAGGTTTATCTGGCTCACAGTTTGCAGACATTTCAGTCCATAGTTGGAAGGCTCTAAGATGGGGTGTGACGGCAGAGGGTCACCACAGAGGAGAAACAGTCCACAGCAAACAGACAGGCAAGAGCACATTAGCCCTTGGTCCATGCTGTAGTACACGCAGGCTGTCCACTGTAGTGTGGGAGTAGCACTTAGACCTTTAATCCTAGCCAGAACTGTACCCCATCAGTGGACTGACTGAGTCTTCATACACCATTGATTCCAGCAGTATACATCCCACATGCAGCTGTCTCCGAAAAGCACTCCCTGTGACTGCATGAGGCTTTGGGGGGGATATTTAGAAGCAAACCATAATTCTAAGGAATCATGGTGCTGGCACCTGGTGAGGCCTTCTTCCTGCATTATAACATAGCTGAGAACATACGTCACGTAGCTACACAGAGCACGCGTTTGCTTGGTCTCTCTTCCTTTTCTTCTAAAGCCACTAATGCAGCCAGCTGTGGTGACATACTCCTGTAACTCCACCACTCTGGGAAGCTGATGCAGGAGGATTGCAAATTCATACCCAGTCTAGGGAGTAATTAGCAATTTAGCAAGAACCTGTCTTAAAATTAAAAAATAATAAATAGGCTAGGATGTAGCTTGTTGCAAAGGCCTAGGTTCAAGTGTTAGTGATGTACACAGAGAGCCATTAATACTATTTTAGGTCAACCTCATGATCTAGAGAATTAGGTTTCTAACACATGAATTTTGGGAATTCTGGGGCATACTCAAGCCCTAGCATTCTGCCTCTGGCCACTAATATTTACTACCTTCTCAAATGTAAAATACAACCCTTCCATTTCAAGAGTCCCAAAGTTTTAACTGGTACCAGCACCATCTCAGAAGTACAAAGTCCACTGACTCTTCTGAGTCATATTTGGGTGATGTTATGGTTTGTGTCCAGTGGTTCCCCCCCCCCCAATCTTTATGTAGTCATGGGGCAGACTTCTAGAGGTTGTGATTAATTCATGGTCTAATGCTGCGATTATGGGTATGAGTGCTACACCGGCTTCAGTGCTCTCACTATGATTCTCGGGGCTGTATCCGAGTCACACTATCATAGAGACCCTAAACAGTTGTCTTCTTTGATCCAAATTTATAAGGGCCAACCAGAAAGCTCAGTGGACTAAAGCACCTGTGGCACTGAGGCAGAGCGTAGTGACCGGAGCTTCAATCCTTGGAGTGCCGTGGGGGCCCCACCTCTGTGGCACACTGAGATGGCAGTTGAGACTGGGCATGGTGGTGCATGCCTGTAATCCCAGCCCTTGGGGTCTGAAACCAGGAGAATCACTGTGAGGTGGATCTATGTAATGAGACCCTGTACACCCTGTACTACAATACAAAAAAAAAAAAAAAAAAAAAATTAGACCTAAATTTCCATGGTTATTGTGCACTAGTCTGGTCCCCCTTGCCTTCTCTTAATACCCTGAGACTCCTAGTGACTTCTTCCCTTTCCCTTTTTTTCTAGAACAATACTGGAGAAGAAGCTGGCTGCTTCTGTGAACATCCTACCCAAGGCCTCTTCACTGTGAGTTTTGCCACACCTGGCTGAGAGAGGGAAGTTGGGGGTTGTAGGGTTAGGTCCTGGCTGGTGGGAAGAGCACTGAACTAATGGGGGAATTGTCAGAGAATAATTCAGAGGCATTTCATCAATAGTTCACGGCTGATTTATATTCAGAGGTGATCAATCAGTTTATTTCACCCAAGAAAAGTGAAAATATGCTGTTCATAGAGAAAGGAAGAAAAAAGTGATGTCATTCCTTCACCTGTGCATATGTCTACTGTAGTGACTCAAATTTGGCTGTAATTTCTGTTCCTAAGCTTCGGCTTCAATTTACTCAGTCTACCTGAGGATGGGGTCCAGTTCTCTGAATCTTTATTTTTGCTGTATTGTGCATCAAACCCAAGGCCCTGATATTACTAGCTAAGTGCTCTAACACTGAGCTGCATTCCCAGCCCAGGACTCTGAATCTTTTAAAGTTGGACAGGGTCTAGGAATGTTGCTCAGCGTTTGGTAACTGAAGTAGAATGTCAGCCTTAGCATTCCCTTCATGTGTATGTCCTTGCTCATAATTGATTCTTTTAACACAGCTCTGTGACAAGGCTCATGGTCTAGGTCCCTGATAGTGAACTTTTTAGAGCTTTCAATGATACGGTCAGTCTGCTGCGGCCATATGCTATAGATTTGCCATCACCAGCCTAGGTAATTTTAGGTTTGTTCTGGGTCATTGTAGATCTTCTCAGCCTAAATCTCTCTTTTTCCCATGAAATTATTCTTATGCACTTTTCTAAAATGTAGTGACTTTATTTTTAACTTCGGAAACTTTCCATATAAGACTCAATTCTCCACTGAAACTGAGTTTTTAAATTTATCCTTTCATGGGCACCTAAGCTTTAGTGGTATCAAAGCAGTGCTAGTCCAGAGGGTGTGAGGGGCTCAGAAGCCATGAGTAGGATGGATGTGGAGAGAGATACCCAGCTTGGAAGGATGAAGAAAGGCCTGAGGGGTTCTGCAGGGCTGTCCTGGGGTGGATTTTCATGTAGCTAGTTGGGGAAACAACTAGGTAGCAGGTGTGGGCGCTCTGCAAGAAGAAAACATCTCTGGCTATAGCTCAGTAGTAGAGCACTTGCCTAGCATGTGCAAGGCCCTGGGTTCAAGCCTCAGCACGGAAGGGAAGAGAGGAGCAGGGAAAGGGAAGAAGGAAGGGAGGTGGGGAGAGGGTGTGGGGAGTGGCAGGGAAAAAATCCTATGTGCAAACCTTTATGTTAGTTGGACTTCTTCAAGAAATAGAGAACCTTTCACCTCCAGAAATGTTCTGGCAATGGTAGCTGTGTAAGAATGGTTGGGCCAGATCTATGCTGTGTTGAATGACTCTAGACTTTAGCATATGGGCTTGGGTAGACTTTAAAGGTTCCTCCTTAGTAAGTCACCTACTTGGACCAAGTGTGGTATTTCTCTGGACTCCTCTTGCAAGCATTATAATTTAGTTTTGTTCTGTTCTTTAGGTATCTTTGGAAGGGAGAAATGGAAGAAGCCAGTGAGATCTTGTTGGTGAGTGAGGTTGGGGCAGAGGAAGTTTTAATAGGAGAATGATTGGAAAAAGGCTTTTTCCCATGTTCTAAAAGTTAGTGAAGATCAGATGGTTGAAGTTCATCTCAGCCTGAGATGCCCACGGCTGACCCGGGAGCCAGTGAGCTGCCCTGGCGTGAGCTGCCCTGGTGAGCGGGGAGGAGCGCTGTCCCCTACGTGCCCAGAGGGTAAGCAGGGCTAGAGCAGAGGCTCTCCTTCTACGGCAGTGATATTTCTCTTTCTTTCTTTATAGCTAATAAAGACAAAGACTTCCAAGGTCCCCATGCTCTTCAGCTATGTCAGGTAAGGCTGGCATATTTTTTACTCATTCCCCATTAGACCAGCCAGGGATGTCCTGAGGACCAGGGTAATGAACCTGAGAAGCTGGGGAGCTGGAATTGAGCTATTCAGAAAAGCCCTTTCTCTTTGACGCTCACGCGTGCATGAATGGGGCGTGTGTGTGTGTGTGTGTGTGTGTGTGTGTGTGTGTGTGTGATGTTGGGGACTGAACTTAGATTTCATCCGTGGAATGCAAGTACCCTGCCACTGAACTATACCTCCAGCCCCAACATAATTTTTTTTCATAATTTTATTGATAAACAAATAGCAATGAGACAGTTTCAAGTCAAATCGCTAGGACAGTTTCAATAATTAACACACTACATACATACTTCTTAATGGTTAATTGCTGTACAAGATGCGGACCTGAGATCCTATTTACAAACACCATTAGAACAAATCATTCTATTCATTAAGAGAATGTAACTATATATCTATCCTA